CACCTCGTGCTTCCCGCGGCAGAGACGTGCGCCATGGACACCGGCTGCCTGGAGGAGAGCAGCGACGATGGCACTCAGGAGGCAGCAGAGGAGAAGAATCTGACGGTGCTGGACGGCTCGGCTGGAGATCTGCTCCTCAAACTCATGCATTTGGCAAACCGGCAGCAGCAGCAGCAGCAGCAGCAGGGCAAGCACCCCCTCCTCTGAGCCAGAGGGCTCCCTGCACCCTCCCCGACACCCCAACCCCGGCGCTGTACATACGAGACCCAATAAAATCCTCCTGCACTGTGCTGGCCTCGTCCTGCGCGCTGGGATGGGCCATGAGGGCTCCAGGGGATCCGGCTCGGGGTCAGGATGGGGGTGTCGGAGGGTTCTCATCCCCCAAATCCTCGCCGAGTGTGGGTGGGGTGGCTCTGTCAGAGTTTGGCTGGGCTGGGTGTAGGATTGGCCCCGTCCTTGTAGCTCCCAGGGAAAGGAGTTCRGGCAGAGCTGGAATTTGGGATCTGGCTGTTGAATCCCACCCAGGAGCCCCAGCAGCACCCCCAGCCCCAGGGGATCACCATGTGCCACCATCACGTTACCTCGTGGCCAAACCCCTCTTGATTTGGGGCCTCACTGCCTTCAGGAATCAGCACCGCATCTACTAAAAATGATAAAAAGTAAGGAAAAGCACCCCAAATCCCCCAAAACAGTGAGGTTTAGGCTTCATAAATCCCCTCCAGGGCTGGTCTCATCTCTCCCCATCCCTTCTGGATACCGACAGTGAGGATCAGTCCCTGTTATCCCACTGTCATCCCCCAAAATTTGGGGCACAGTTATCCCAACCCTCTCCCGACCCTCTTACCCTGCGGGGTCCTTGCTCCGAGGTGTCTCAGGCTGGCACTGRCCACGGCACAGGGGACAGCTGTCCTTTATAGTGTCCCTGAGGGAGGTGGCACCTCCAGGGAGGTGGAGCTCCCTGACACTGGTGGGATCCATCCTGCCCAGGGCAGCTCCCCGCACCCCGCAGGGGATGCAGGATTGATCCCACACCTGATTCCGATAGCCAGCATCTTATCCCAGCCCTGGGGAGGTGGGCRACCCCAAACCACCCCAAAATCATTGGGAAAGGGGTGACAGCAGCATGGATGGGGGACTCTGAGGTGGGATCCGAGATGAAGGATGTGAACCCCAAAATTCCTGCAGCACCAGGGATGGGTGGGGTGAGTGAACTGGGATAAAACTCCATCTGATTCTTACCTCAAAACTGGGATATCCAGCCCCGAAAAGCACCAGGGGCTGATAATTGGGGATTTTTTCCCCTACTTGTCCTCCTGAGTCACATCCTGCAGGGGTCTGGGCACCCCTGGAGCACTGTAGGGGCTCTGGGATGGTGATTCCCCCTTCCCACTGGTGCTGAGCCCCATTTCCAACCCATCAGCATGGATCCTGGTGCCTGCCTTGTCCCCAGGGAGTGGCACTGACCCCGGCTGGGTGACAGGGACCCGGCTGCCCTCGTGCCAGCCTCGCTAAGTGGCRGATTTYGAATCAAGCCAGGGGRACAGGAAAAGGTCACGGCCATCCGRCTCTGGGCTGCCTAATTCCCAATTAAGCCAGTGCAGGGTAATGATCTCGATGGACGTCAAGTTCTGTCCTCGGCAGGGAAATTAATTCAAGCTGGGAAGCTCCTAATTGGGATAAGGAAGGCGAGGGGTTGGAGTGAGCAGGACCCTGAGTAGTTACATCAGCCTTTGGCCTCATCCTCGGCGCCGCTTCTCAGGGAGGAGGGGGGGTTTTGTCTGCTGGTGACACAGCTCAGGACACCACAATCAGTCCCTGTGTGCAGCTCCAAGGAGAAACAGTGGGGAAATTTGGGATTTCAGGCCTTTGCCCGGGAGGTTTGGTGCTCTCAGGTGGCTGTGGAACCGTTGGATGAACGGGATGGGATGGGCTGGGTGTCCCAGAGTGGAAGGAGCCCAGTGCTGAGCATTCCCCAAAGCCCAGGCATGGGTGGGTGGGACGAGGGCATCCCCCAGCCCAGACCCCATGGATGATCCCAGAGGATATGGGGTTGCTCCCCGCCACCCAAAGGGATTTGAGGCCAAGGGAAGCCTGTGCCACTCTCTCCCTGCTCCTGAGTGGACACATCCCATCCTCTGCTGCCTCCCTTCATCCCTACCCTCTCCAGAGGGGTTCCCAACACCACAGGGGTTCCCAACGGGACACACCACAGCTCAGCAGCCCTAAAAGAGGCTGCCAGAGAAGTGCCCCAAAGCTCCATCCACAATCTCCACACGTTCATCCRGCTCCATCCACAACCTCCACACGTCCCCGCCGCCGC